ACGACCACAACCACCACGACCACGACCACGACCACAACCACGACCACGACCACGACGACGACTACGACTACGACTACCAGTTCTACTACCAGTTCTACGACTACGACTACGACTACTACTACTACTACTACTACTACTAGCTACAACAACAACTACTACTACTACTACTACTACTACCACGACTACTACTAGTAGTATCACTACTACTCCCAAGGTTGGGGCCCGAAGCTCTTCTGCAGACAGCTGTGAGCCTGTGTGTGATGAGCCTGAGAACAAGTCTGACGGATCTGACTCAAGCGCTGTTGAAGCTGAGTGCAATGGCGACGGTGATGATGCATCATCGCAATCATCTTTGCTACGGGCGCCTCCAATGACCCTTGCGCTGCGTCTCCCAAACCTGCCATCCTCCAACACAAGAGCCTGATCGATCCTCAGAATGAAGTCCAATGACCTTCACCTCCACAAAGCTCTCAGGCACTGATTGCCGCGACGCACCCAATCCCTGACCTCTAAGATTCCTGGAGCCTCCACCGAGATATCCGAAATCGGCTTCTCAGGCTCTGCTACCATGGGGAATCTTTTCGAACGTGAAAGGCGCCTGCGGTTTGGTACATCTTCTCGATTTGCGCTGTGTCTTTGACGTGCATCTTCCTAGTACATGAGTACATGTAGCCTCTACACACAGTTTTCGAGTTGACTAAAAGAGATATGTTTTCCTCGGTGTCGACCAAATGCATCTATCCTCTGAACTAATTCTTGGAATCCGAGCTCAAGAGCTGCCTTCAGCGCAATGTGGAGATGCTTATTCATCTAGCAGGAATGGTTGCGCAATGTTGTCGAATGTTTCGTCGACCAAAAATAGTTCGTCACTTCACAGCGTCCCCGTGACTATGGCTCAGTAGTCAGAGTTCTTCAAGCAGTCCTACAACATCAATCAATGCTCCTTTGCCCAAAAATCTCGTAAAAAAACATCCTAATCAGTTGCAAGTGTGCGCAGCCTTCTGCTGGAGGAACTGTTGCCTGGAACAAATTCAAGGCAAGGCTCAAGATTCCAAAACAGAAGAACTATGATTGATTGTTTGGCCAAAGTGAACTGGTCAAGTCGAACAGGCATAAGCGTCATACCTGCCTGAATTGGGAGAGCCCTGCTGCATCCATGGCACCTCCATCTAAGGCCTGCAGGTGAGCTGAACATCTTCAGAAATGTGTTCAACCACATTGTCTTTGCCAAAATAGATGACTTCTAGCTACTACGCACTTGTCACTAGCAACAATATCACTGATGGCTTCGCGAACGTCCGCTGGGCGCCGTGCACCGCTCAAGAAGTGCAGCGCGCACCCATGGGCCCATGGTCACTAGTAACAATGAAAATACCGTCGTTGACAAAATTGCGCGCTTCATTCAACGTCCTGGTTCAAGGTTTCCTCCGCCAAGTGCTCAGCTTCTTGTGCCTTTGCCTTGGCCAGAGGACACAGGTAGAATCTGCAGCACTCACTTGAGATTTTGCAGCCTTGGCTGTTGTTTGGCAGTGACGCGGCTACAAGGATCAAAACGAACCAATCTCAGCGTCCCGGCATTGAGCCGGAGACCCAGTTGATGAGGGCTCCGCCTTTGCAGGATCTCAGACCTCTGCTGCAGCTTTGCCTTGAGAGCTCCCAACAGCACGAAGCTTGGAGTACAGGTCTCAAGAACGCTGGTGTCTTCTCACTGGTTCTCATGAATCCTGAGGCGATGAAAAAATTGTTTGGTGGCTGAAACGATGAACTGTGCAGTGTTGTGCTGCACATGAAAATATAGACAATACTGTACATACTAATTAATATGTATATAGATTCATGTATCCCCCTCGTGTCCATGATGCTTGGATGCTGCTGTTTTGGTATTTGCGTCAGGATTCAAGAATTGAGGAAGAATTATATAGTAAATACCCAGCCAAGATTGCTGGAGAAGTTTCTCAAATCCCAGGCCAGGATGCATCTTGAAGGTTTGAGCTTGAAGGTTGGGCTCAGATCAATGAATCCTGCAATCTTGAACCTTGAATCCAAGCCTGTGATTCCAATCTCGAATCTTGAAGTTGCAGCGGGTTGCAACTAAGGTTCCAAGTCAATTGCCAAATAGCTGTTCACCTCAAAAGTTCTCGTGCTCTACTGTACATTCCCATTTGGCAACCATGCCGATTCCACCCTTCCCACATGTGGTCCTACGCATCAATGGCTAGAGCATGGACAGGTTCTGCCGTGGCCCTGTGAGAGATTTTCGAACGCTCCAACACTGGGCCCTTGAGTCAGCCTTGAGTCAGCCTCAAGCAATTTGGAGTGAGCTAGAACATCAGGCAGAAACGGCACGTGCATAAATCGACAGTGATTTACAAGAGAGAGAGAGAGAGAAGTGTACTACATACAGTACACGAAAGGCCGCTGTGCGTAAAAGTTAGTAAGCGCGGCGAGATAATCACATACTTCCTGGTGAATGAAAAAGCACCACCCAAGTCTGCCTGCACGGAAGATCTCAGCACTTCAACCGCCTCAAACACCAAAAACTCCCAAGGTGTTGAATTCCGGTGAAAAAAGTTCTGCAAACCAAACAATGAAAAACAATTCCTTTGGAGGTTCCACTCGCTAGGCCTGAGTCGCAGCCTCATAGTCAGCTGATGCCTCCGCACCCAACCATTTGATGTAGGTAATATGCTTGGCATGAAGCCCAGTGTTTTCTCTTTCAATATCTACAGTAGTCGAGATTGCGAAACACGAGAAGCTGCTGTACTGTACAGGAGCGCGTACAATATCTTCTGGATCAACACCCCACTGCTCTCGCTCTCCTCAGCCACTCTTGGCTCTCGTGATACAATAGCATCAGCAATATCACTGCCCTCCTGAAGCCAAAATGACTTGGAGGTTCAGCTGCTTTGAGCCAAGTTCTGCTTGCAATGACGACCATCGACAAAACACGACAGCGGCGCTAACGACCACTCCTGGCGTATTGTGCTCAACTCCTTGGCCAAATCCTTGACCTGAGCGGTCAAAAGCTGGAGTGCAAAGCAGCAGAGATAAGCTGTCGTTTATACTTATAGTGAGCTGCTGAAAGATAGAATATTCCCTTGCGAGTGAGAAAGAGATAGAATGCCATTTACCCTTGATAATTGCGGGTAAGAGATAGAATATTCCCCTTACTTATCATTTCTATCTTTCAGCAGGTGGAAATAGCTTGCAGAACAGATCCAGAACATTCCAAAACCCTTCGTTTGACCGCTTGCACACTGACATTTTGACATCACTGCACGGACTGCATAAATCCCCGCTGTGCACTGTGACGAGCTGTACTGGATCAGAGATTAGTGGAGGCAACCACGCACGCGCTTCAGAATTATATATATATACAATGAGGTCCAAGTCACCAGTTAGGTATATACGCAAGAAAGGATAAATATGGATTACTTGCTTCAAACAAACAAAAGGAACCAGAATCTGCTTCACTCATTTGCCTCCCAGTCAGTGGGACCAAGCCCCTCCTCCACACATGCAGCTTGAATACGGGTAAACTGCTTCTTGGCAAAATGATCGGAAACATTGGTTTTGAGGTATTCCCCCAAGACCAACCTGCACACCAGGAGCAAGGCCTGTTTTGGAGACCTGTGTTGCCCCCAGCTCCGACCAAAGTATTTGCTTTCTCCGCAGTATCCACGCCAAACCCTGTTCGCTGGATGGACCCCAATAGAGGTGCCAGGAGGCTTCAGGGTCAGGCCAAGGGATCTTAATTCCTTGAATTCCTCTCTCTCCTCAGCAGCTGGCACGCGCTTGCCACCCTTGGGCAAGGTTGTTTTCTCCCCTTCCGCATCATCATCATCATCGCTAGCATCCGGGAATTGAAAACCATCAAGGTCTTCTGGTATGCCCTCAGAGCCTTCTCCATCCATGCCATTAGCTTCATCCATTTGCTCGTGTTCATCTTCCCCGCCATCCCCCTCTTCAGCATCACCTGAAGGGCTTGCAACTACTTGTAGGCAATTCAGTGTGACAGTCAGTGTGTATATATACCGTATATGTATAATATATCAAATATAATATATATATATACATGTCCATGGAATGCGCAGCAGGATATGATCTGGAAAAAGAAACAATGAAGACAACTGGTGCTGAAACTGGCCAGGTGAGGTACAATCGGACAATGCATCCTCTGGGAAGTGGTCGAGCTCTGCCGGTAGCTCGGCTGCTGGGACCTTCACTTCTAGCAACTTCAGCCGATAGAAAATGCCTGTGCCTGAACGAATTTTTAAGTTCTCTGCTTCCCTGGCCAACTGAACCTCAAGCAACAAGCAGCTGCTCCGGAGCTGGGTGAGGTTCTTTTTGTGGAAATTGAGGACTTGAATCTGCCGCTTTTTGTCCAAAATGACGCGTCTACACCATGTACCTTTCCAGGTATCGTACTGCTCCTGCTGCTTTGGCGTGAAATGCTCCCTCCCATTCTTGTGGCGCTTGGCCAAACACTCATCCCACTTGCTGGCTTCTTTGGTCCAAATCATGATCGTTCTGTCTATTGCTGGCTTGAACCACATAGGGAGTGGAACTGGTTGGCTGCCATCCCCATCTGCCTGAATGGCCCACTGAGACACAAGTTCTCCCTCAAGAACAGATTGCTCTGCCAAATTCACAGATTCCAGGGTTTTGGCACTCTCCACTGACGGCAGCTCCTCCAAGGCCAAGAGAGCCCGCATAGCATCCTTTGTTCTGGAAAGAGCCTGCTTTGCACTCTCCACATTTCCGTCAAAATGCCAAGATGCAAAGTCTTCAATGGATGTGAGTCCTCTGCTCACCCACGCGTAGGCAATGAGCTTTCCTTGTTGATACGCCCCCAACTGCTGCAAAGCCCATGCGTCTGCCCTTAGGCTTGCCTCCATATCCAACCTTAGTTAAATACGACAGTAGCCGAAACGCTGAGGCCTAGGATCACAGTTGCCGTATATATATATATTTATATGTAGATAATATTCCATATTTGTTGTGTGTGTGTAAATACATGTGTATATATATACACGTATGATCATATATATATATGTGTCGTAGACCAAAAAATGTTAGTATGAGCAAAGAAACTTGCACCTGGGATCCCCGTTCACCGACAAATCCATCTCTGCAAGAGCTTTCCGAAGGTGTGGAAAACTCCCCTGAGACACTGCAACCCTCAGATATGATCTTCTGAGCTGGTGAAAGTGCTGATGGAAGCCATCATTGGGAGCCCCTGTGGCTCCCCAGCCACCAGGGATGACAGGAAGCGACTTGTCATCCCCTTGGTCATCGCAGATCAGAAGGCAGTTGTTGGCTTCCATCCAGCGGTCAAGCGCGTGTTTGAAGGTCGAGCAACTGTGTACCGCAGCTCGGTCCATCAATATGAGGCCACGATCTTTAAAGGAAAGGCCAAGCTCCATGCGTTTTCTTCTCAGTTCAGAACTCAAAAAAGCCAGATACGAAAGAAGAGTGCTGCTGCCCCACATGTGGGTGGATGAGTCCTGGACAAACAGACATATGTATATGTATATAATATATATATATATATATATTAGTGTTGCCCTATGCTCAATACACACACATATATATATATATACATATGTACACACAAAAACAAGAGCAATACTTTTCCCAGGAACCCGAACCGGTTGAGGTCAAACCATGTTTAGCACGAAAATGCAGAGTCCTGTGCGTTGACAACAAGGTGGGCTTTCAGCTCGGCGTTGATCTTCTCTAAGGTGCCCTGGTCAATGGATCCTGTCTTCATAGTTGTCCATCCACGCCCAATCTGACAAGATGCACATGCCCAGGACAATTCAAACATCTTCCAAAACATTATATATATATATACATATATACTTTTGAAACATGTTGCAAACTGGCGACATATTTGTTTTGACTACAAACTCACCTGGCCGTCAGCCCAACTGAGCGTTGTTGTAGTTCGCGATTGTCGAGCCTGATCTACAGGCACTTGGTGCCCTGCCGCGTTTAACTTTGCTGATCTGGGGCCATGCTCCCGGCTAGCCTCAACTTGTTCCAAGCCAAGAGCTTCAGAAATCGCAGCCAATGCTTTCTTCTCTGAAGGCAGCAGAAGGTTTGATAAAGTTCCAGCTTTATCAGCAGGCTTGAAAATGCTTCGTGTAGCAGGCTGGTAGTGCACGGTCCACACTTGATCAAAGTGTCCCACAAGTCTCTTGTTGATTTGATGTGTCTTGTGGCAATTCTGGATGAAGACTCTGATCGCTTCCATAGCTGGATGCTCATAGTCTAGGTGCTTGGACTGCTTGCTGATTGCATGAGGGCGCAGCCCCAGTTTGTTGCACATGCGGCTGACGGTTGCCCTTAGATGGGGGCAACCAAGCGAATCGATGAACAAAGGCTCTGGTATAATATATATATATATATATATATCTGTCTATCTATCTATATATGTTTTTACCTAGACATATTTCCATATGGAAAATGAAAACCAAACACACGCATATATGTATATATATAATATACACATAACATAGGCAATTAGAATGCCTCCAACAGTTTAACGTGTGTATATAATATACATATATATATACAATAATTGCTGAAAAGGCAAAGCTACTCGAGTGCTTTGGGGCGCAAGCTGAACTCGAACGGTCTCAACGTTCGCATTGCATCGTCCATGGCGACAGCTGCCACCTTCTGTGCCTCCTCAACCTCCTTCTCCGAAGGGGAGTCGGTGGCAATGACGTGTTGGTCGCAGTCCTTCAAGACCTGTTGCCCCAATACCAAAGAAGCCTGCTCCCTGAACTTTTCAATGTGTTCGTTCCAATGCTTGGCCATATAAACAACCAGATTGGCTACGTAATCCCGTGTCACTTCTTCTCCTGACTGAATGCGTTCGAGAATAAACTTCTCAACGCCTAGTGCCAATGGCATTGGCATGATGCTGCTTGAAGCTTGTCCCTTTGCTGTAGCCCGACCTGGTGCCTTCAGAGTCTCTATACCCAATACTGCACGAAGAGCATTTGGCACTTCACACATCTTTTTGGACATCCTCTCAGCACAGGAAACAAAAAGGTCCCATTTATACTTCTCTCTTCTGCCTCCCCACTTGCTCTCACTGAAGCATCCCTGGTACTGCCCACGGCCAGGGCAGTGCTTGAGCATGTAGGCTTCCGGATTCTGAATGTCCGGATTCTTCTTGATCTCATCAAATTCCTGGGTCTTGAGCTAGAAAGAAAAAAGGTCTGGAAAGAACTTGGCCCTGGGAATATTCTATCTCTTATTTCTGAAGAGTTTTGAATAAAGAAATTAAACACTGGAAGGAGGCAGAAACTTTTCTGGGAAAAGAGCTAGGTTCGTTCAGCAGCTTGACCTTGGAAAAAATTGAGAGTGAGCCTTGCTTGCCCTTCCGTTTCTTCACTGGAACCGCATCATCCTCCAAAATTGACTCTGGCTCTGGCTCAGAAGCGCGCCGCTTTTTCTGAACTGGAGGTGGATCCCGGGGGGGGGAATCTTTGCGAGGTCGTCCACGGCGCCTCTTTGTTCCTGATTGTTGCCTCTCTGGAACTGCCGCCTTGCATAGATCAGAAAGCCATCCTGCAGGAGCAAAGGTGGGATAGCCGGGACATTCTGAGGCTGCCACTTTTCCTCTGATTCTGCGGCGCTTGTCAGGCTGTGTCTCAACTGGAAGCTGCTCAGATTCTCTTTTTCCTTCTTGAGACACTAAAGAAAGCGGCAAGGAAAGCGCTGGCATCGGAGTCAGTGTGGAAGCAATGTTCATGTCAGTCTGAGTCTGAACCTTCTCTGTCTCCACCAAAGCTTCAGCTAGATTCGTTGCCTCTTCACAGCCTTCCATCAATGCGTCACCATTATTGCCATGGGACTCAGCTATGACACCCCATGCCTGACTGTGCGCCAGAGAAGCCAGGAATTTCACCTGCATGACAGTTGAACTGAAACTGTTGCCGCAGAGGTCCTGGGCTTCCTTTGGTCGGTGCAATATTCTTTCCACTGCTTGCTG